CTGCTCTCAGGGGGCTCCGGGCTTTCTAGTCCTCTGGGGCTTCCCTGGCTCTGACCGGTGTCATTGAGTTCAGAGCCTGGTCTGCCTGGTCTACCACGTCTGCCCCTCCTCGTGGATGTATTGGCCTCTTCTCTGGCATCCCTCTCTCCCGGCCAGACAAGCGAGACCCCTTTTTCTAAACTTTCACCCCCTTATTGCCCAGATCTTTTAGCCAAGATTGGGTTTTCCATGTACAAATCAGCAAAATGTGATGCTTCCGATGGCTCAGATCCCAAGTCTGCCATCACTAGCCACGTGACCTTGAGAATGTCTCTGAACATCTCCATATGTCAGTTTCTCCCTCTGTAAAACAGGGGGCGGGGGGTGATAGCAGTATTCCCAGGGCCGGCGGAAGCATCCCCAGACATGCAGAACCAGAACCACTCCGGGCCAGCGGTGAGCACTCTGTACACCTCTGCTCTTACTGCCGTCTCTCTTCCTCCGCGTGCCTCACGAAGGCTGGATCACTGCAGACCCAGGGCTGGGAGGAAGTCAGAGTGGGCTGGATGGAAATGAGCCATGGGCCTGACGAAACTGCCAGATGGTGCTTTTCTCAGCGCCTTAGAAAGGAAGAACAAGTTCACATGCCGGCTGGGGAGGTAGGGGGGACCAAGACGGGAAACATGTTTTTAAATGCTCTATTATTTTGCTCTCCAGCTTTCCCCAGAGTCTGTGGCCTCCAATCCCCATGGTCAGGTTCACAGGACTCCACGCCGGCAGAGAAGACAGTGGGTGTCTCTTGGCAGATGCAGGAATTCCCTGAGTATCTTGAATTCCCTGAAAAAGCCCCATGGAGAGAGGGCAGCCGGGAAGGGGAGTCCATGGACACTGGCCACCTGTCCTTGGGGAAGTGCAAAGGGCCTGGGGCACTGATGAGCTCAACTACCACCAGATTCTACACATAATGTTTAATAGTAACGGTGGGCAAAGCCAGTGCAAACATCTCTAGCAGACTGTCTTTTCTCTTGGTTTCTTTCTCCCTGCAAGGGACTCTCAACAAAACAGTGTTTCTTAATGAAAACAACATCGCAAATCTTCATGGCTGGCCCTGACATACCTCATAGCTCCTTCTCTGTCTTCCCCACGAGGCCGCCCTGAGGGTGAGATCACCACGTGTGTCCTGCTCACCACCGTGTCCTGATTCCCACGCCGGATCAATGTGTATTTGTGGACAGAATGACAGGAGCTCTCAGGAAACCCAGGAGCCTCACCGAGAGCCAGCTGATGTGAAAGGGCCTTGCCCAGTGTCCAGCACGTAGGAGGGACTCCGAGTCTGGGGGTGGCAGGGTGTTTGGTCATCCACCTGGTTTATTTCTGGGCTAATACCTCCTGCCAGCAGGTGCAACCATAGCCTGCTCACCCAGGCTGTTAGGGAGCGTCCCCCAATCCTCTCCCTGCGATGAACCTGGCTTCAGCTGCTCCTGGTGTCAGCGCCCCGCTGGCTCTCTGCTCAGTGGGTAGCACCCACCTTCTGCTGCCCAGGGTCTTTCACACCAGTGCGTTCAGGGTTGTTTCCCGAGGAGGGTGGAGAACATCTCTAGTGACCCCGGGCCCAGTGCAGCGCCTTTGCTCACAGGGGTCCAGTGCCTCTTGAGGACAGTAAGGAGGAGCTTCCCTTCTAAGTTCTTTCCCAGCACGGAGGACTCAGGCACTTCCCGGCAACAGGATTCATCATCTGACCAGCGCTTCCTGAAGTCAAAACATTGGAAGATCAGCTGACCACGGGCCTCTAGAAGCCATCTGATGTAGCCACTTCCATCCTCTCGTTTCAGCCCACCTGGACACTCCGGTGACCTGCTACTCCTCCAGGGTCCCCGGGACAGAGGAGCCCTCTGGCTGGGCGTCCTGCTGAAGGGTGATGAAAGGTCACCCCACCCCTGTCCAGCCCACCTAGGGCCACTCTATTTTCCCCACCCCACACTGCCTGCAGGCCTCCCTCCAGGTGCTCCGACATGCCTGCTCCTGCCCACCCCTCGGTCTCTGCATAAACCAGTGGTTCTCAAACATGAGCGTGGTCAGAATCCCCCGGAAAGCTTGTTCAAACACAGATTTCTCGGCCTCACCCCCAGAGTTCCCCACTCAGCAGGTCTGGGTGAGGCCCGGCATTTGCACTTCTCTTACGTTCCCTGGTGACGCTGATGCTGCTGTCCGGGGCCCACCCTTTGAGGACCACTGGTGAGCGCTCTTCCCTCCTCTGCTCGCGGGGATGTCTGCCATTTGTTAAGCACTATCTAAGGTCCCGTTTTACTGTTATCAAAGTGCCTGGCAATGAGGCCGATCTTCAGCCAGACTATCCAGGGATCAGTTCTGGAGATTTCCCTCTGGTAGACATGGGGAGGACTTAAATCCAAGGATGTAGCTCAGGGTTTGCATTTGGAAGACTCTTTCAGAATTTGCCATCCCCACCTGCCTGGGCCTCGCCATGGTCACGGTCACCTGCAGTGTGTTTCAGGGCTGGGGCATGGCCCCCACCGCTCTGGCTGCTCCCCACACGCTTGTGGTTCCTGGCCTTCCCTCACTGCCCGCCTGGCACGGAGCTGACTCACCGCCAGGGGGCGTGGTGATTAGTATGCAGGGCAGGTACTGGAGGAAAGCTGTCTCCACACAACAGCTCTTGATGTGTTTCTCTGATTAATGTGGCAGAGAGAACATTGCAGCTTTTTCCTGAATGGTCGCCACGTGGAGCCAGAGTCATTAGCATTGAGTCTCCCGCTTGCCGTGACCTGCTGACCACCCTAAGTAGATAAAAATGAAAATGGCCAAGACAGCTGCAAGGCTCACAAACAAACTGCTTGGTGGCTCTGCAACCACGGGCGACTTTTATGTGGAAGCTTCCAGAACAGCCTTGCCTTCCCCATTTCCTCACACCCCCGTAAAAGCTGTCCCTGAAGTTTGTGCTTCTGTGACTGCTGGTCCCCAGTGAGGACGGACAGACCCCTTTCTCAGGAATGGAGCCCCAGAGGGACAAAGCATCACTGCCTCCCCTAGTGTGTGCCCCAGGCGAAGGACGATGGGAGGAGGGGCGTGGGGTTCCAGCAGAGGGGTCAGACTGGGCGAAGGACAGGGGTCTGCGCTGGGGTAGGGAAGGCGGGTGGGTGGAGCGAGAAAGGAGACTAGGAACTGGAGCTTTATCCTGAGGGCAATGGCATTTACGAGGTGAGAGAGGAAGTCTGCGTCTGTTTGGTTTCCCATTGTCTTCCTGGTGCCTGACACAGCGCCTTATACACAGTAGGTGCTCAACAAATGGTCGCTGCAGAACAAATGACGGAATAAATGAGTACATGCAAAAGAGACTCAGAGGCTTTGCTGGGAGCAAGACACGGCATTATGACAATCCCCCACCCCCGACTCCAGTGTGATAGATACCCAGGGGGTTCAGTGTGCGGTGGGAAGAACAGTTAGGCAGCTGTGGCCCCGAGGCAGGTGGTGGTGCTGCTGCCTTGAACTAACACCGACATCCTGCAGCGCACTTCCTTCTGACCTGTGGAGCCTGGTGTATCTCGGGGACAAAAGCTTGAGTTGTTCAGGGAAACTGAGGCAACCAGAGGGCACCTTAACAGCCTCCCAAGGATGGGAGTGACGGTCAGAGGGACTCCTTTTATATCATTGCTCCTTCCTTGGCTCTGTGTGGTTGGGCTCAAGTTGCCATGCTGTTCTGAATTATTGGTTTTGATTTTTTTTCTTAAGTTGCCACTTTCCTTCTCTGGGTCTCAGTTTCCCCATCCGTGCAGTGAGGGAGGGCGGGAGATCGGAGAATGGCTCCAGGCTCGCCGGGAAGAATGGTGGGAAGACGGCACAGGTGGGCCAGTCCTCAGCTCCCAACCCACCACGGTGCCTCTGTCGCCGCCCCACACCACCACCCTTGCCCCATTTGGGTGCTGGTCTTCCAAGCCAGCCCCACAGCATTCGCTTGCCAAAAAGCAGGTCTCTGAGCTCAGCCGGGGCTGGAAGGGAAGGAGCAACGGCGCTAATTGCAGAGCCAGCAGGAGAGGCTGGGAGGAGGCAGCCAGAGAGAAATCATCTTGTGATGCGCCAATTACTGATCAGCTGGGACATAATTGCGGGGCTGCCATCCCGGCTGCTGGAGGTACCAGGTCTCCCTCTCGTTAATCAACGATAATCCAGAATTACGACCCTTAATGATTTGCAAAGACACTTATGCACACACGCACACATGCTCTCATACGGACACAAGTAATTGATAATCAACCATGTAATTTGAGGCACTAATTCTGTCCGGGCCAGATGACAGGTTCCATCCTGCTAGCAGAGCCCAGATCGCAGCCGACTCCTGCCTTGGGGGCAGCTTCTCTGGGGGAGCGGGGGCTCCTTCCTGCTCCAGAGTGGGTCTCCAGGCAGGTGGCATATGAATATTGGTTTGTTCCCTACTTTTACTTCTCTACATTGTCTCATTTTTGCACATTGTTATTTGCAGCATTTGGAAACATCATTGTCATTGTCATCTCTTATTCAGAGCCCTGAACCCGATGGTCTCTAACTTCAGTGCATGTTTAAATTACCAGAGATGGTAAAAAATATGGATTCCTGGGCCCCGCCCCAGGAGATTTGGACTAAAAAGTCTGGCATGGGGTCCAAGACTCCGCACAGTTCATGCATGCCCCCCAATGATTTAAGAACTGATACGCTAAACCAGTGGCTCGCAACCCTGGCTGCACATTGAAATCACCCAAGGAGCTTTGAGAACATTCTGATCCCTGGGACCGAAGGCCAGAGACCCAGACTTAATTGATCGCACACGGGGCATCAAGGTTTTTTAAAAGCACCACAGGTGATTATGAGCATCAGCCGGGTTGAGACCCATGCCTTACAATCCTAGGGCCACTCCACAGGCATCTGTCTTCCCAACCTGTTCCCGTTCTCTTTGCCTGGGGCACCATCACCTCACAATAGTTGTCTCACAATAGTATCACCTGGGTATTTGTGAAAATGCAAATTCTGGTTCAGGATGGGGGGAGGGGCAGGTCTGTCTTCCCAAACACATTCCCTGGTGATGCTGCTGCTGCCGGTCCTGGAAAAGTAGGACTCTTCCTTTGTTCAAGGCCCAGGCATGTGGACTCCTGTTGACCGAGCTCTTCTGGGAAAGGCCCGGTGCTGATGCTGGGCCTGCGAGGAGGAACCCAATCCAGTCTCCTTCAGGTGGCTGACTCCCCATGAGTCATGTGTCAGGTCCTTTCAGGTTCCTGCGAACAGGACAAGTCAAACTGACTCAGGTGCTGCAGCCCCAGGAAAGGACGGTGCCTGCCTCGAGGAAGCGAGGTAAGGTCAGTTCTTGCGAAGCCAGGGGAGGAACACGAGAAGTCATTGGGCAGGAGGGCCAGGGAGGATGAAACAGAGGCGCGCCCCTTGTGGTGGGTGCCCAGCGGGGTTTAGCAGGTCCCTGGAATTGAGGGTTTGGGGGAGAGGCTGGCAGTAAGGAGGCTGGCCCACCAGCGGGAGAAATCTATTTCCCCTCCTCCTGCATCTGGCCTCAGCATGTGGCTTGCTCTGACTGGTAGAATTTGCCGGAAGTGACAGTGCTGACCCCACAGCTGGCTCTGAAGGAGCCTGGGAGCTCTGCCTTTATTCCTTCCAAGCCCAGCTGCCAGGTAAGAGATCCAGCTCCCCGAAGCCGCCATGCCGGCCACGCGGAAGGCCGTGCAGAGGGTGCCGGGGTGCCAGGCATGGCAGGAGAGCCTTCTTGGCCCTTCTCTCCCAGTCTCGCCACCAGCTGATCGCAGCCAAGCGGATGACCCCAGCTCATGCCATGTGGAGTGGAAAAACCAACCAGTTGGCCTTGCCCAAATTCCCGACTCCCAGAATCATGAGAAATAATAAATTGTTGTTTTAAACCACTAACTTTTCGAATCCATTGTTATCCAGCAACAGATGACTGGAACACTTGGGTTCTCGTCTTGGTTCTGACACTCACAGGCGAGACTGGTAACCTTGTCAGACCTCAGTTTCCCGCTCTGCAAAATGAGGGTTAAATGAAATTATGCATCGAAAACTCTGGGCGCAGGGCTTGGCACACCTGGCCTTCTCACACGGAGAATCTGCGATTATTATCGAGGCAGTGCCAAGGTTCCGGTACCCATGCTCCCCCCTGAGGGAGTGACAACCATTCAGATCATCTTGTCCCAGGTGCTCCCATGAATGGCCATCATTCTCCTCTAACAGGAATGGCCGGTCACCATGGCAGCATCCTGGCTAAGAGCCGTGGCTTCTGAGCCAAACCAGCCTGGACACAGCCCTTCTCTGCCGGTTTCTAGCTTTATGACCTCAGGCAAGTTATTTAATGTCACTGAGCCTTGGTTTCTTCACCTGAAAAAAGAGGAAGTCTGTTGAGCTCCTCCTCCAGGAAGTGTACCCTGATTAAACTCTCCCACCACATTTCTCTAAATAGAGCTTTGTCATGTTCTGCTTCCGAGACAGGTGCTAATTTCTGAACTTTCAGAAGAGGGCTGAAATGACCCGTATTGGTTGCAAAAGGGTGTGGGGGACCCTGAACCATACTTTAGTCATAAAAGTAGCTTGTTTTTTTAAAAAAATTTTTTCCTTTACTGATTTTAGAGAGAGAAGAAGGGAGAGAGAGATAGAAACATCGATGAGAGAGAGCATAGATTGGCCACCTCTTGCATGGCCCCACTGGGGATCTGGCCCACAACCTGGGCATGTGCCCTAACCGGGAATCGAACCAATGGGACCTCTTGGTGCATGGGTCAACGCTCAACCACTGAGCCATACCGGCCAGGCAAAAGTAGCTTGTTTTTCTCTAGCCTGAAGAGTTCGCGTCTTGTCCTCACACCACGTCTCCTTAGGAACTGGATGGGGCCTTGGGGTGAAGGCTATAATTCGTTGCAGTGTCCAGAATGTGTGGATGTATGAACACTTGTCCTTTCCCTGTACACCTTAGGGACTCAACGACATCTGCAAGAGAAATATTTCTAGAAATCAAAATGGATGATTTCTTGTCCGGCTCACCCCAGCTGCCCTGCCTTCGGAGGACACTGAGAAGTGGATCCCTTTTCACTGCCTCTCCCACCACCACCCTGGTCCCAGCCACCATCCCTCTGCTTGCATCCCTCCACTAGCCCTGTCCCCCTGCTCTCCCACCCGTACCCCAGACTGAATGATCCTGTTCAAATGTGGGACAGATGATGTCACTCATCTACTCAAAACTTGCAATGTCTCCTGTCTCGCTCAGAGTAAGCACCAGTGTCCTCTCAGTGGCCCTCAAAGCCTGATACCACCTGTCCCTCCCCATTCCCTCTCTAACAACATGTCCTGTTCCCCTCCCTTGTTCTCTCCAGGACAGCCTCTCTGTCACATGCCTCAGGGCCTTTGCAGCTGTCATTTCCTCTGTCTGGAACTCTTTCTACCAAAGAACTACATGGTTCACTCTCTCACCTTCTTTAGGTCTTTACTTAAATGTCACCTTTGTAATGAGGCCTTCCCTGGCCAGTCCATTTAAAATTGCCCCTTTATCCCCGGGCGCTCGAACTCCCTCTTCTGCTTTGGCTGTCTCCCTAGCTCATATTACCATCAAACATCATGTTTATGCTTATTTATTTTTCTGTCCCGTGTCCCCCCAACACCCCTCCCCCCCACACACACTAAATTGTAAGCTCCAATGCGGACAAGGATTTGTGTCTGTGTTGTTTATTGCTATTGCCCCAATGCCTTGCAATAGCTCAATAAACTTTGTTACATGAACGAATGCAAAAGCACATGTGCACACAGCATGTGAGCTGATCCCGCAGACATCCTCAAAAAATAAGCTGGACCCAACTTGGGTTGTGTTTTGATGTGGGTGTTAAAGCCTTCCTCTAGCATCGAGGGTTTCCAACCTTCACCTTTGTGTGTGTGTGTGTGTGTGTGTACATACGTGTATATGGGCACATGTACATGTGTGCAGTAAAGGCCACTGGGAGTGAAAATTTGATGGTGGTAGTGATGGCAGATGTTAATAAAAATTCATTGAGAACATATTTCCTTATCCTCCTCAAGTCCTCAAAGACAGACCAAGTGGGCCCTGGCTGGTTTGGCTCAGCGGCTGGAGCACTGGCCTGCGGACCAGAGAGTCCCGGATTAGGTTCCCGCTAAGGGCACGTACCAGGAAAAAAAAAAAAAAAAAAGACAGACCAAGTGGGATGTTGCCCAGTGGCCTAGGAGAGAACAGGGATCCAGGAAGGCAAATGACCCCCACCAGGCTGACACTATGAGGCTAGGCAGTCTGATCAGTTCAAGGAGAACTATCCAGATGTGCCTGGAACACGCAAGGGGGACTTGCAGTGTGGATCATCCCAGCACAGTCCGAGGAGCTCTTTCTGTTTGCGTGAGCCTCCCACGTCCACTCTGATGGCTTCTCATTAGAGGTTAGGGCTCCATAATTAACCTGGAGCAGAAGGGCCCGGAGCCTGGGTCTGCAGGGTACCTAGTGGGTGGGAGAATCTGGGGAGCCTAGCATACCACAGGGGCATGACAGGGTCCCTTCCAAATGAACCAAACAAATGACAGCCCAGGTTCAAAGTGATGAGGTTTCCCTTGCGATGATATGACTGTTAGTGACTTTCAAGTCCCCCCAAGTGACAGAGTCCTGAGACCCACACCCAGGGTTTCTATCCTCCAGTTTGGGGGGAGGGGCTGAGGGGTAGAGAAGACTTCCTATTACAGATGAGAAAACTGCAGCTCAGAGGCATCACATGCCCTGTCCAAGGTCCCACCACACACTACAGGTGCAAGGAACTTGGCTTGCTTCTGTATCAGACGCAGTTTCTGGGGTGGTCTCTGAGCTTGAACTGATGCCTGGTTGACTCCAAAACTAATTGGCTCCCAAAACCTAGCTTTTGCACCCCTCTCAAAGCCTGGCAAGTTGCCAGGTAGGTGACACCTGGTGGGTGCTCTGTGAAGATTGGCTCAAGCTATCAGGTCCCAGCAGGTTGTGCTAACAAAGATCCCCCTGCATCACCCCAGGCCACCCCCACCCCCACCCCCAGTCTGCAGGCCTGCACCTTTTCTCCCAGCCAGCAGGGGGCGCACACACTTTTTTTCTAGTGGACTCACCAACCTCCCCAGCAGCCTTTCACCATTCTCCACTCCTGTGATTGAGTGTGTGTTAGGCACACAGGGGCCCTACTCGAACCAGCCTGTTCAATGTCAGAGGCCTTCAAATTGTGCGGTCTTCCCAGCAGGCAGCCCTCCCGCAATGATGTGATCTAATATTTACTGAGTGCTTCCTACACCAGGCACGTGCTAGGCACCTGACAAGCATTAACTCATTTCATCATCCGAGGTACTAAAATGATCCATTTTACAATGGAGAATACGAAGATACTGTTTTTACCTCATTTAAAAAAGAATTCTGAGGTTTGGAGCTGGTCAATGGCTTGTCACCCCCCACCCTCCAGACCTCCCCTTTCTGCCCCCTGGTGGTGGGCATGGGCAGGGCGGAACAGGCTGAGGCCTGGGCCTCCAGACAGGGCTGGATCGGAAAGAACCCTTCTGAGAAGAGGAATGGTTCCTGCCCAGGTCTGCCCAGGTTCCTGCCTCTTTGCGTTTTGTTACTGTTCCCCAAAGCTCGGGGCAGGCCCCTTGAGCTGCCAGCTTCGCTCTCATGGGGCACCCAGGGACACTTGCTCTGGTGTCAATTCCAGCCACCTGGCAGATACTGGGAAGTGTCCTGGTGGTGGTCGGGAGGCAAGGGCCTGCTCCATGGGAGGGGAGAAGGCCTCACAGCATGGTACAGTAGAACAAGCCAGCCCACCCGTCTGCCATTTTACACGTAAGGAAACAAACCCAGACAGGGGAGGCCACTGGCCCAAGGTCACTTAGCTTGTGATGGCAGAGCCAGGGCTGGAACCCAGGACTCTGAGCTGACGTCGGTCTTCCTTCAGGCTTTCGCTGATCATATTCTCCGGGGCCTGAATTATCTCCTTCCCCCACCCAACTCCCTACCACACCCTGGCCACGTTCCCCGTCAGGTCCTGCCCACACTGTTCCAGACCCAGCCCGGGCCTCTCCACAGACATTTCAATCGCTGCGTTAGAACCAGCGGCTCTTTCACTGGTCTGCAGCACTTGGACTGCTTCTCGTTGGTGTGCCTCACCTCTCCCAGCTGATCTCCGAAACAGCGCCCAGGGACGTACCATGGGTAGGGCACTGGGCCGGTGCTCAGACACCTGAATTTGAACCGAGCTGGGCCACTCACTTGCAGTGTGTCCCAGGGAGGTCACTTCACTTCTCTGGACCTCAGTGTCTCCTCTGGTCTAGATCAGAGCTTTTCTGGCTCTGTCCATGGAGGCTGTCTGTGGCCCCAGAGGACAGGGCCCTGTCCCTGCCCTGGATTCAGTCTCACTTTTTTATTTCTTTCTTAAATACTTGGGCTTTGGGGTGGGGGTTAGAGAAGGTTATAAGGCTGAAAGAAATTTGAAAAACATTTTGAGGTCCTTTCTACTTGAATCTTGTTTTTCTTTGTCTCTCTCTCTCACTCTCAGTCACCAGCAGGAATATGGCATCTTGCACAGAGTATTCTCAGTAAATATTTGGTGGACAGGATTGAATGTGAGAGTTGAACCTGACCTGGCAGGGGCGAGGCACGCAGGGAGCAAACAGCCTGCAGCAGGCTACTAACATGAACAGGGCCCTTGAAATGGGGCGAAGGCTGCCTCGCGTCTGCAGCTTCTGCTCCTCACCTCCTCCAGGTTCCCTCCTGGCTTGCCCAGAAGTGAGGCTGCCTCTCTCACAACCCTGCCACGGGGGCCACAATGTCCTTGCACAAACTCTGTTCCCTCCCCCGCTGCCAGGGCCTCCCACGCACTGGGCGGACAAGAGTCTGGCAGACACTGGTGTGGCTGAGCTCTCCTGGAACAGGTTCAGAAGGCCGTGGGGCTAGCATGGAGGAAAGCTCTGTGGCCTGGTCAGCAGGCCAAAAGCCAGGCAGGCCGCCAGGGCCCAGGGCCCCCAAATGTAGGCTTTCCCAAGCTGCAGCTGTGTGCAGGGCTCGTCTGGGAGGGCAAAGACTTTGTGCTTTTTTGTCAGTTGCAGGCCCTGTTTTACGTTGTGTGGGTATGTTAGTTCTGCTTCCAAATCTTGGCTCCTCCTGGAGCTACAAATTACACTCTAGCCTTCATCCTGCAGCAGGGCTTCCATGCCCCAGGGTAATCAGGGACCACCCCGATTGTGCAAGTGTGGCTGCCCACAATTAGAAAAGCCTGTGTCTCGCAGTGTTTAAGTCTGACCCGGATAAGAAAAGGCCTGAGAAGAACAAAGGAGAACCATTGTTACAGCCTCAAGAAGTTCCATCAGACACTTATTCACACAATGTTTGAGTTTTATTGTCATCGTCATCTTTGTTGTCATTCCAGCACCCACCCATCTCTGAACTGCTCTAAATTTTACTTTATTACTATCTGCCACATTCTTTGGGTCACTCTTCATAGTTATTCATGCATTCACATCAGATTGTCTCAGCATGAAAGTCTCTAATCTTTAAGAACCTACTGTGTTCTGGGCACAGTTAGGGACTTTGCAAACTTTATTTTATTTAGTCATCACAACAACCCTGTGAAGTTGCTGGATGCATGATCTCAGGAAATAGTTCAGAAGTGGGTGGCTCCAAGGCAGGATAATTCAGCTGCTGAATTGTGTCACCAGGACCCATGTTCTTGTCACGTTTCCATTCTATTATCTTTAGTGTGTGGACTTGATTCTCTGAGTAGTTGTCTTCATCACAGCAAAATGGCTGCTGTGGCCCCAGCCATCACTCCAGACATGACATTTAGCTGCTGAAGGACAATTGCTTTTCTCATGTTTTAAGAGCAAGTGAATATTTCCTAGAACAACTTTTTACACGCATGCCATAAAGATCCCTTCCTACATCTCATTGACCAGAACTGGGTCACAAATCTATCCAAAATGAATCACTGGCGAGGGAAACATGGGATACCAAGATTAGTATAAACTAACCAGGATTTCTCCACCCCCACTCCAGGCACATGGACTTAGGAGAAAAAATTCAAGACACTAAGGAAGAAAGCAGTAGTGATGACTGGATGGCAATCAACAATGTCTGCCATACGGGTAATTATTGTTATCTCCATTTTACAGTTGGGAAAATTGAGGCTATAAGAAATGAAGTAATGCCTTAAAGTCACAGGCAGATGCCAAGTTAGGATCTGAACCCAGAACTCTTTGACTCCAAAGCCCCGGCTCTTTCTACTAGGGGATGTACCAAGCTCTATTCTCTATCCGTTTATGAGTAAGAGAGATGATTATATTCACATCTATCTCGAGTTCTTGCTGGAACAGGGAAGGTAGAAAGAATATGCACATACACTCCCATATTATCTTACTGCCAATAAAATTACACTATAAGAATCTATATTCAGGTGACTTCATTTACTAACATTTATTTAAGACTTTCCAGGTGACTTTGGGGATAGCAGGTGAGCCCGTAGGGAAGGTGTGTGTACAGATTGCCATGGGGGTACAGAGACAGCAACGCTGGAGAGCACTTTCATGGGAAAGGTAAGAACCGAGTTGGGTCTTGAAAGATGTATAGAAGTTTGCTCAAAGAAGGAGAGGGAAGCATTCTTCCTAGGCAGAGAGAAGAGTCCTGCGAAGGCAAGGGCCGGAGAGGCCATGTGGCATTCCAGGGACAAAGAGGGGTTTCATGTGGCCAGAAAGTAACTGAGGGGCAGGAGGAGGCAGAGAGAGGGGTTGGAGGCAGTTTCCCAAGGGCCTTGTGCCCAAGTGGAAGACTTTGTTTTGATTCTGTTAGGCGTCAGGAAGGTTTTTAAGCAGGACTGTAAAGTGATCAGATTTGAATGATTTTGAAACCCCTAATGAACGTGAGTGGGCGCTGTAGAAGGGAGGAATTGGTGGCTCAGACACAGATGTGTGCTCCAGATGTGTAGATTCCAGCACAAGTTAAGTCACCAAGAAGGGATTAGAAGTTCTTTCCCCAGCATCAGCAACGTGACCAACTTGGGGCCCATGCGTCTATACAGAGATGAGCGGGTCCTTCCAAGGGTTCATAAAGACTCGCAGAGAATATGAACAACGATTAATGTATCCATACTAAACAAACACAGTAACTCGGAGATGACTGTACATGACCAGTTAGTTCCAGTGTTGCTGGTAAAAGTCTTCAAACTCATGGAGTGAGGAGAGCCAGGAGCTGTGTCCTCTCGTTTCCAGCACTGTAGGCCCCTGCTTGGTCCTTCCTCTCTTGAGGTCTTGGGTCCTCACGGCCACAGGGGATTGACCCAGGAAGAGCAGTCTTTCCCCCTGGAGAGTGGCTGGGGCAGCCCTGCTCCCACCCAGGGCGGCCTTCCTAGGAGCTATTTCTGCTTCCTTTTCCCGTGAACCTGCCTGAATAAGAGGGTATTTCCAGGAAATCCCAGCTGCCTTTGCTTTTGAGAGCCACTTCTATCAGTGAGGGGTCTTGTGAATCCCCGTTGCCCTCAGGCCTCATGTATAAACTTTCTGGTTTTGTGTCCAGATGTTTCTGATACATGTGTGCATGCAGCTATGTGTGTGTTTCTGGGCCCAAGTGGAGTTGTGCTGGCATGGGCTGGGGTTGACAGCACCCTTGGCAGCAACATCCCAGGACACCTTTTACCCATTACATTCTACCCCTGGGTGGGGCACCTTCCTGCCGGGTGAGTATTGACTCTCTGCACTTCATCTAAATCTTAGAGTGTTCTTTAGGCAGGCATTACAAGTGCCGCTAACTTGAGAATAAATGTCAAACCCTGGCCCCCAGCTGTTCTCAGTGTATCTCCTTGGGGAGGGGGGTGTGATTCGACTCACAGACGGACATCGAGGCAGATGTACTAATAAAAGGCTGAACCAGGAACAGGCAGGCCAGCTGAACCACACCTTCGTTTCAGCGTTTTTGGATGCGCACAGATCTTTCCGGCACCGTCTGCCCTTTTGCTCAGGTGGACTCTTGCACAAGACCTGGCTGCCCTCAGCTCAGTCTCTCTGAAAAACATGTTCAGCCCCCTCCAGAGAAACTCAAAACACAGACACTCCTTATGCATTTTCCTGGAAACATTCTATAGCTCCAGCCTGGGAAAACTTCCAAAAGTTTTGCTAAACCAAAGATAACAAAAGAGAGAGGGAGAGAGGAGGGGGGGGGGAGATGTGGAGAGGAGAGAAGCTTGGGCAACGTTCCTGTTGGTTAATGTTCAAGGGAACAGACTTGGATTGTAGGGAAAGGAAAAAGGAAGGGTTTCCCAGGTCAATTTAAACATTTGTGCTGTTTGTTTTAAAGGCAATTCCAAATTGTTGGCCTCCCCAAAGTGAATTTTTGGAATCTACCCAGAGGGCAAAAACTTACCCTTCCTTCCCCCACCTGGAAAGTTTTCACACCAGAGGCCCTGCTCATTCCTGAGCTCTGGCTTTTAGAAAGGACTTTCCCAACCTTCCAAGATTCTCTGCCCTCCCTCACCCTGCTGACCCGCAAGGAGTTATTTTTGCTCCACCCTGAAGCAGCTGCGTTCCAGCTGTGGCGCTGTTAGGAAACATTTAGAAATCCTCTGGCTGGAAAGGTAAATGAGGAATGTGTCCTAATGACACCTGAATGCTGGCAAAACATCTGCAAACAGAGAAGCACAAGGAACAAATTCTTGACTTGAGGTTCCTTTTATAATCCTGTGCAGAAGAGCCAGCTGTCAGCTTACAGAAAAAGTTTTTAGTGGTCTTACAGATACATGTGCTGACCAGCCTGACCCTTCCTTCCTGTGAAATGTAAGAACCGAAATTCGAACATATTTGTGAAAAGTCAAAAATATTTTCACCTACTCATGAGCT